ACCGAAGCCTCCTGCCTGAGAGGAGTGGTTCGAACAGACCGTGTGCAGGGTGAGGAGGGTCAGCTGTGATCCGACCTGCTCGCCTCACAGTCCTGGAGACGTACAGGTCATGGAGGGATGGAAGGCTGCAGCCGATCACCTTCTCAGCTGAGCGCACAACGCGCTGCAGTCTCAGTCTGACCCTGGCAGTGGCCCCGGCGTATCACACCGTGATGGAGGAGCTGAGGATGGACTCGATGATGGCCGTGTAGAACTGCACCATCAGCTTGGCCGGCAGCTTGGCCTTCTTCAGTTGTCGCAGGAAGTACAGTCTCTGCTGGGCCTTCTTGATGAGGGATCTGATGGTCGGTTGAGGTCCTGGGTGATGGTGGTGTCGAGGAACCGATAAGAGTTCGCAGTGGTGATGGGGGTATCATTACAGGTGGGGGGGGGGGGGGGGGGCAGGGGGGCTGTGGCTTTCCTGAAATCCACAATCATCTCCACTGTCTTCCGGGCATTGAGTTCCAAGTTGTTGCAGCTGCACCAGGTCACCAGCCGGTCCACCTACCTCCTGTATGCAGACTCATCACTGTCCGAGATGAGCCCGATGAGGGTGGTGTCATCTGCAAACTTAAGTTTCACAGAGGTGAAAGCCTCCACAGAGCCTCCACAGAGCCACAGAGGCTGGAGGTGCAGCAGTTGGTGTACAGGGAGAAAAGCAGGGGGGAAAGTACACAGCCCTGTGGAGATCCTGTGCTTACAGTCCGAGTGTCTGAGACAGATCTCCCCAGCCGCACGCACTGACTCCGGTCTGTCAGGAAGTCTGTGATCCACCTGCAGGTGGAGTCAGGTACATGGAGCAGGGAGAGCTTGTCTTGGAGCAGAGCAGGGAGGATGGTGTTAAATGCAGAGCTGAAGTCCACGAACAAGATCCTGGTGTAGGTTCCTGGGGAGTCCAGGTGCTGCAGGATGAAGTGAAGAGCCAGGTTTATTGCGTCATCTACAGACCTGTTGGTCCTGTAGGCAAACTGCAGGGGGTCCAGGAAGGGGTTGGTGATGGACTTGAGGTGAGATGAAACCAAGCGTTCAAAGGTTTTCATGACTACAGACGTGAGAGCTACAGGTCTGTAGTCATTTGGTCCTGTGACACGTGGCTTCTTGGGGACAGGGACAATGATGGAGGACTTGAAACAGGCTGGGACGTGGCATGACTCCAGAGAAGAGTTGAAGATCCCTGTGAAGACTGAAGCCAACTCTCCAGCACAATGTCTCAGCGTGGAGGGTGACACAAGGTCTGGACCTGCAGCCTTATGTGTATTCAGCCTTTTAAAAAGCCTCCTTACTTCATCCTCTTGTACAGAGATAGCAGGGGGTTGTCGAGGGCAGTCCCAAGTGGTTAAACCAGTTGGGCTGGGGTTGGTGTGGAGGATGGAGGAATGCGAGTCCATGACTTCAAAGCGTGAATAGAAGTCGTTCAGATCGTTTGCCAGTTTGAGATTGTCTGTAGAATGAGGTGCTCTGGGCTTGTAGTTAGTTATCTCTTTCAGCCCCTCCAGACAGAGGCAGAGTCGTTTGCAGAGAATTGTTGTTCCAGCCGTGTGTTGTACCTGGATTTAGCCTTCGACACCTCCCTGCTAAATCCATACTTTGCACGTCTGTAGTTGTCTGTCCCTCTCTCTGAAAGCAGCCTCCTTCTGCTGACAAAGCTGTCAGTTTGGATGTGAACCAGGGTTTATCATTATTGAAAATGACTCGAGCGTGATGGGATGATGCTGTCCTCACAGAAATGTATACATGACGTTACAGTGTTTGTGTATTCGTCTAGACTGTCTGTAGAAGCCCTGAACAGGTCCCAGTCTGTGGTGTCCAAACACATGCGTAGCTCCTCCACAGCTTCACTGGTCCACTTTTTGGATGTCCTCACCACAGGTTTGGAGAGCTTCAGTCTCTGTCTGTATGCAGGTATGAGGTGAATCATCTCATAATCTGAGAGACCCAGGGCAGCACGAGGCACAGCACGATAAGCACCGCTCACTGTGGTGTAACAGTGATCCAGCGTGTTTCCTTCTCTGGTTGGGCATTTAATAAACTGTTTATATTTAGGTAGTTCATGCCTGAGGTTTGCTTTGTTAAAATCTCCAAGGATAATAACAAGGGAGTCCGGAAAAGTCCGCTCTACACTCGTAATCTGGTCTGCGAGCGCGCGCTCAGCCTCGTGCACGTCTGCGCACGGTGGGATGTAAAGAGCAGCCAGAGTGAATGAAGTGAGCTCATGTGGAGAGTAAAACGGTTTGCAGTTTATGAAGAGATATTCCAGAGAAAGAGAGCAGTGCTGGGAGATCACAGTCACGTCGGAGCACCAGGCATTGTTGATAAAAAAAAAAACAGACTCCTCCACCTTTCTTCTTTCCTCCGGAAATTTCCCGCTGTCTGTCAGCACGGAGGAGCTGGAATCCCTCTAGATCGAGTGCGGAGTCCGGGGTCTGCTCGTTGAGCCATGTCCCCGTGAAGCACAGCACACAGGAGGAGGAAAAAATCGCTGTTCCTTCTCATCAGCAGCGCTATCTCGTCCATTTTGTTGTAGAGGGAACGGACGTTGGAGAGGAATATCCCAGGTAAAGGTGTGCGTGTACCGCGCCTCCGGAGACGCACGAGCGCTCCGGCTCTTCTGCCCCTCCTGCAAAGTCTCGCTCTTTTGGCCAAAAAGTGCACAAGTTCTGCAGCAGGCACTAAAAAAACTGGAGTAATGTCCTCATGGGTTGTGATTCTGAAGTTTAGTAGCTCCTCGCGAGTGTAGGAACACACAGACACATGATTAACGCACAAAAACAGAAAAAGCAGAGCGCACCAGAATGCCAGGGCGACCGTACATGGCGCCATCTTGGAACCCAAGTTCGACCCAAGTCCTCCAAAGTGGCAGCACTTCACAAAGATAAAAACTGCGTAACATGCAGCTTTGAAAAGTGACGACACGGGAGAACCACAGAGATAAACGTAAACGTGTCGGAGTCACGAGGAGGATGAAGGAGCAGTAGCAGATACAACTCGTCTCACTCCCAACTAGTCATGTGTTGGCAGGTGAGTGTCTACAATATTCACATTTGTTCTGTTTCCAAATGAGAAAACGTAACGTCAGTCTCTCTGGTAGCTGAAGCTGCTGCTTGTTTGTTGTCTGATTAATGATGGTGATAGAGAACGTGCATAACTTTTTATTTAATGTAATTTGTACAAGCAGTGTTTAAATGTGATTTATAAATAAATCTAACCCAAAGATAATAATTTAATGATTAAGCTTTAACTTTTAATTTGCTGGCAAAGTCTGAAGACACTGCAGGTATGGCAGGATGTGTGTGGGTGTGGGTGTGTGTGTGTGTGTGTGTGTGTGTGTGTGTGTGTGTGTGTGTGTGTGTGTGTGGGTGTGTGTGTGTGTGTGTGTGTGTGTGTGTGTGTGTGTGTGTGTGTGTGTGTGCATGTGTGTGTTTAGCTACTTTTGCCTGAACCTAACACTGTAAGTGAAACAACACATTTCTTGAGTTGCTGTAAATTATGCTATAATACATGTATATTCTCTCATTCCAGAAAACAACAACAAACGCAGCCTTCATGATGGAAAGATATCATGGACACTACAGCAAGCAGCTGTCTTCACTGAAAGCATAGGGTTGGGTACCTTTCTAAAAAAAAAAAAATTTGGTATCGGTACCTTCACTTCGGTGTCGGTTCCTGGACGGTTCTTTTTTCGGTACCAATTTTGTAATTACTATTAATTCTAACAAGAATAAAATGACGTTACACATTACAGTACAAATTGTGAGTTTTATTTTTTAACTTAGGTATTTTTCTATTCCAAGCAGTTTTCTTACATAAAAAAACCCAAATAATTTCCAGCCTTGGTTGACCACTTAGGTCTTCTGGTTCTGGTCTGCTCTGCATCCCCAGAACCAGAACCAAACATTGAGAAGCAGCATTCATTTTCTATGCCCCACAAGTCTGGAACAAACTACCAGAAAACTGCAAAACAGCTGAAACAGAGAGTTCCTTTAAATCAAGGCTAAAAACCCACCTGTTGCTTTTTAACTACAATAAATGGAACATCGACAAACATATTTGATGGCACTTGACAACATGTGATGTTTGTTACTGGTTTCTCATTTGGTGAGTGTGTTTTTATGACTTAATTTTGTGTTTTTCTGATGTAAAGCACTTTGAGCTGCCTTGTTGCTGAAATGTGCTATACAAATAAACTTGATAGACTGATTGATTGATTGAGGCATCTGAGGTAGAAGTTGATGATGTCTGGCTTTCTTGGCTGTTCTTTTTACATATTTGTTCTTTTTAGTTTCTCAAAACATTTCATCAACACTGTTATGAGCTATGGGATGGTAATCATTTGGGCACTTAAGGTGAGTTTTCTTGGGGATAGGGACCATGACAAACTTTTTAAAGTCTGGCAGCATCATGCTATGGTACCAGTGCACTGTACAAAGGGGATAGAATCAAGAAGGAGAACTAACTCTAAATTATTCAACTTTATCTTAGATCAAGTTAGATGTTTGAATTTTGGAAATAATTGGGTGTTCCAACAGGAACAAACGTATAACAGAACTGCTTTGTGTTTTGGATAATAGCCCAGAAATGCAGCGTTGATGTGTATATTTCCTAGTGAACTGGCTGTTAACTTAGCTCACACTTTCATTGAAATGTTTTACATGTTCAGCAAAGATTTGTTTCCCTGGTGTTATCTACCCATATCTCAACCAGAGACTCATGGTGGTTTCCTCATAGGAGGTATAAAGATTATCCACAATGAGTTAGGAGGACCAATGGTACATCTGTGCTTCCATCTTGAAAAAATTGTTCGATTTAAAATAAGTGATGTGGACTGAAAAGTCTAGCAGGGTACAGATCTGGTTTCAGTTCAAGGGCTTGTCAGAGGTTACCAGGTGATTTTATTTAAGCACAGAGTGTCAGATGACTTTTTTGTCATGTTACCCTGTTGTTAACATGTTGTTTTTCTGTAGAATCTATCCAACGAGGAGCAGGTGGTTGTAATCCATGCAAGGACTGTGTTAACTCTGGCAGAAAAGGTAAACAGCTGAATTCATCTGAACTAAAACCTTTAAATGTGTTTATATATATATATATATATATATATATATATATATATATATATACACAACACATTTAATTTAGGGGTGCAGAAAAAAATAGATTTTTTAAAGAATCTAGATTCTTAGTCCTGGCGATTCTGGATAGTTTCTAAAAGCCCATAAATCGATTTTAAAATGCATTTTTTTATAATTTTTTCTGCTCTTACTCCCCGTTCGCCCGCCGTAGAATTGAGCTGTGTAAGCCACCATACAGCAAGCTAGTTAGCCAGCTCCCGTTATCTGAATGGAGCCTGCTAGCATGGAGGAGGGAGACAGCGCGATTCAACCCGCCTCTTCGTCTTTAAAAATCTTTTTAGATCCTACAATGTTCCAGGGGAAGACGGAGCTTAACAAGAGCACGGTTGTTTACAAGAAGCATAAAATAAAATTGCAGTACAGTATTTTGGAAATACGACAAAATGCACGAAAGATGAAAGTGAAGCAGCCGACCAGCGAACTCCGCAACAAACTTCCAGGCTTCCCCAAAGGCTGCAAAGATTTCCTTCTCCATCTCCTGCTATATCACAAAGGATTTATGAGCAGACAGCTTAGTGGAAGGTGAGGGGTTTAGGTTTATTTTTAATACGCTGGATCCAAAGTATGTTGTTCCTTCACGTAGCTTTTTTTTTTTTGCGATAAAGCAGCACCACAACTTGACCATGAAACAACAAATGATGCAACTGCAGCTCAAAGGTAACTGTTTTTTTCTCATATTATACTAAAACTTATAGACAAGTCGAACAACAAACTTAATGTAATTTGTCTTTTTAACAGTTGAAGAGAGGCCAGATGAGGCATCGACTGGAGCCAGTTCTAAATGATACAATGTGGTTTATAAATTACAGTTCAGAAGAGGTTTTTGTGCAAACTTGCACAGGTTTTGAAATTTTGTTAAATATTTACTAACTATGAATCAATATGGTTAAGACTGAAGTCTGTATATTTTATATTAGGTTAAGTTTTGAAAATATAACAAATGTTAGAGCAATATGGTTAAAAATACCTGTGAAGTCTATTTAATTTAGAGTTAAAGGTTAATATACTATGTATGGTAGGCTGAAGTCGGTTTACTTTTGTATTTATATATTTTGAATTATTTGTCTGTGATGGACTGGAGACCTCTCCAGGTGTACCCCGCCTCTCACACAGTGATGGCTGATATGGGCACCAGTGACCCCCGTGACTCGAAAAGGAAGAAGTGGATAAAGATGATGGATGGATGAATTATTTGTTCGTAATTTTTTTTTAGTTTATTTAATTTTTTTTTTTTTGGGGGGGGGGGGTGGAAATTCAGTCAACTAAGCTAACCTAATACTGGTAATTTAAGTTAGAGAATTTTATGCACTCATATTTTTTTCCTATGTTTGGTATAAATATAAAATGAATAAAAAATATTTGATACAGTAAGGAACCTAAAATGATTGTTTTAAATAGATGTTCTATTTGTTTACATTGTTGTTTAATCTTTTCAGCTCGTCAGTTTTAAAATTGAAACAAAATTTATGACCATTTCAATAGAAAAATAGTTTCTGAATCGAAAAATCAATTTTGAATCATATCGTGACACCAAAAATAAGAATCAAATCTGATCGCCAGACACAGAGATTCGCACCCCTAATTTAATCTATGTGTACATGTCACCGCATATTTAATGTTTTCTATGTGTTTGAAATATAGTATTACCTACAAAAGGAACAGCTAAAAATTTTCTTCTCAACTTTTTTTACATTATAAACCATTTGATGTCCCTGTGCAGTAATCTGGTCACCTTGTTACATGTTCTACTGATGCATGGTCAATAGTCCAGGTAGAAAAATATAACAAGGTTGAATCAGGTCCTCTGGATAGATTTTTCTTTGTTGAAACTTTGTCTTTTATCCATTCATTCAACCTTTATTTATACAGGTTAGTCTCATTGAAGCTCAAGGACTCATTTTCTAGATAGAGCTGTTTTAAACAAAGAACTTTAATTACAGATAACAATAGACAACCATATAAAAAGCATATAAAATGAAATGTAAATAGAAGAAATGAAATAAAAACAAAACAAAAGCAGTTGCATTAAAAAGCGATGTAAAATACTAAAAACAGGAACATGTCTGCGTTGATTTTTGCCATGAACTTAGAAGTTGTTTAAAACCCTTTAGAGAGGTCAAGGTTGAGAGTTTCAGATCTTTTTGCACGCCTATTTCAGTCCGCACTGAGGGAACACTGAAAGTAATAATGTCCTGAGAGCGCACACTGTAGCTGCACTCACACAATGACAAGTAGGAGCAGATATATGAAGGCCACAGACCAAGAAGTGATTTAAAGATGAAAAGTGTGAAAGTCTGTGTGAAGTTAATGACCAAATGACCAGTGAATACAGGGTGCAGTGGTGGGTACGATAGTTATAGCCAGTTATGAATCTTAGCACACTGTGATAGATAGCGTCCAGCATCTGCAGGATGCTTGCAAGAGCATTCATGTAAATAATGCCACCATAGTCAATGTAGGGGAGGAATGTAGCAGTTACAAGGTGTTTCCTAGCATTCAGTTAGACAGGATTGATTTCTAAAAAAGAAACCCAGTTTTACTTTCAATTTCTTTACCAAGTTTTCAACATGAGGCTGAAGAGAGACCAAAATACCCACATATTTATAAGAATTGGTGAATTCAATAGGGACACCATTCAAAGATAAAATAGAAGGAATGACTGGTGGAACCGACTTCCTGTTTGAAAACAAAATCCCTTTGGTTTTATCCGCATTTAGCACAAGTTTGATACGGAACAAATCTGACTGATTGATGTCGAAATCAGAATGTAAAAGCTGGAAAACCATAGCCACTTGAAAGTGAAATAGTTTTCCGCAATCTCAAATCCATCAACCCTTCTGCCCTTTCTGCTCTTGTCACCACCAAACTGGCAATCTCCCCTCCCCCACTGACTGATAACCCCTCAGAACTAGTCACCTATAACAACAGCACTCTCTCCTCTTGTCTTGATGATCTACAGTAGCTCCTATTAAAACCAAAACTGTCTCCTACACCCACACTGCCCCATGGTACACCTCTGAGCTCCATAAAATGAAATCATGTAAGCGTCAACTTGAGAGACTGTATATGAAATCTGGTCTAAAAGTCCATCTCCAAATCAGAGTCAGAGTCAGAGATTCTTTGTCGTTCGCACCACATGTGGTACATGTGGTAAAACCAAATTATGTACTCAGGGTCCCAGTTACATCCAACAATAAAATGGAAAATAAAAACAATAATAACATCTAAGATATGAACTAAGAAAAACATCAGCTAAATAATACACTAAGCAGTAATAGCATAAAAACATTACGTCAAACAGCAGCACGAACATGAGTCTGTGTGAGCAGATGAGCACGAATGAACACAGCAACATGAAACAGATCAGCAGCAAGATGATTAGATTTTTCACAATGATTATCCTGGTTAGATATTCATGAGTCCAACAGCCTCAGGTTAGAAGCTGTTCCTCAGTCTAGTGGTTCTGCACTTAATTCTATTTCTGGTAATTCTACTTCCGGTAAGTTAGCGCCCGTGTACATGGCTTGCAATCCACCTCTGCTAATGGTATTCGGATTATTTCTGTTTTGTTCATTTTATAACTGTGACAAACTCACTTCTGGTGTATGACTGACAACAGCTTCTGGATCTTCCTTTTTTCTACGGTTGATGTCGCTCATTTGGAACAATATGAGCGGGAGTTGTCGGTGCATGGACCGACCCGAAGGGGCTGTTATTGAAAACCTCTGGCCATTAGCACGCGCAAACTTCATCGCTGCTGGCTCTACTTTGGACAGTATCCAGATGTGTTTTGGCAATGAAAGATCTGTTACCAACAAAACTTTTATCCTCATGGACTACTTTCAAGAGCACGATTTGGACTTTTTCTGCTTCACAGAGACTTGGATGTCTCCGGGTGAGTCCAGTGCCTGTCAATTGCCACCGATCTGTCTGTATTTTAACGCACTGCGGAAAACAGGCCGGCGCGGTGATGGATTATTAACAATATTCAAACCAACTTTTGACTGTAAACAACTGCCCATCCCAGTTTCCTGCGCCAGCTTTGAGCTGAGCGTCTTTGAATTCAGCCATTCGCCTCCGACGTTATTTGCACTCGTCTACCGCCCACCTCGATTTAAGGATTTCATAAATTAGTTTTCTGACTTCATGGCTGAAATCACACCAAAATATAATCATGTTTTCATTATTGGGTTCCTTAATTTGCATGTGTGCTGTCAGGAGAAGCCCTTGGTTAAGGACTTTTTAGATGTGTTGGACTCATTTAATCTAACTCAGCATGTAAACGGTCCCACCCAAGAGCGTGGACATACACTGGACCTTGTTTTAACTCATGATGTGACCGTTAGTAATCTTGAAATTGGTGATAATGTTTTTTCAGACCACATGCCAGTCCGATTTGAGTTCACCCTCCCCCATCTAACTCCTAAGCCGTGCATTCGTGCACATCGCAGCCGGACCATTAACCACTTCACTGCCGCACGTTTCACAGATGTTTATAACTTTGAAATGATAATTCAGCTCCCAGTGTTTCTCACCACCACTGAGGAGCTGACATCCCAGTTCAACTCTGTCTGCTTAAAGACCATGGATCATGTCGCTCCTGTTAAAACTAGAAAATCAAAACTCAGAGCAGAACCTTGGCTGAGTGACGTCACCAAGGCCGTTAGGCAGCAATGTAGGAGGGCAGAGCACAAGTGGAGGAAAGACAGGCTGAAGGTCTCTTTTCAAAGACTTAAAGAAAGTTTGCACCTTTATCAGAAAGCAGTGAAACCTGCTTAATCCAAATATTTTTCTGATATCATAACCTATCATATCATATCATATGGGCAGCATGGTGGCACAACTGGTAGAGCTGCTGCCTCTCAGCGAGCAGGTCCTTGGTTCAAACCCCGGTCCAGGGG